GTGGGAAAAAACTCTTTTTCTGTTCAACAAGATTTCTTGCAAGAATGAAACCCATTAGGAAAGAAAGTTTTACAATTTAAAATAAGCCAAAGTTTTAAGCGTGAAATGATCAGGTTGGTTGATTTTATTCCGCTTATTTAGCTTAAACCTCTGAATACAAAAAATGCACTTAACCACTATAAACACAATCTGAAAAGAAAAACAGCAGCAGCTGTAAACAACGCTAATGAATGCAGAAGAAATTTATCATGACTTCATTATCTATTTTGTCATTTACACTTATGGAAGCTCCTGATTAGGGTTGCTTACAGCTGCTGCTGTTTTTCTTTTCAGATTGTGTTTATAGTGGTTAAGTGCTTCATCAGAAAATATTGCTGCGTTATAACTGGGGCTTTAAAAATCCTCTGATTTTGTATTACCAACATAGTAACGACAGCAGATCTTATGGGTTTTTGTAGTCTCGCATAACATATCACTATTCTTTTTTCTCACAACACTTAAACAGACACTTCTTCTTTGAGCTTTGCGAGGACAAATTTGACTAATATCTGCTGGAAAACTATACAATTATACATTTTTATCTGTCAATTTACCACTACAGTTCACAACACAAAAATGAGAAAAAGGATACAAATGCTTCTGTACATTTGAACCTATAAATGAACAGTAAACGATTCATGTAAGAGAAAAGTATTCCATTTCATTGAAGAATAATATTTTTTACATTGCTTTGGACTACCAGAGACTGTTTTTGTTAATTCAATATACATAATCTTTGACGCATCAATATAAATGTATGCAACGAGCATGGCAATAAGCTGACGACATTTTCGAACTGTCGCCTCATTTCGCCACCTCTCATTGTGGCGCTACCATCAGCTCGAGGCGGATAGTCAAATAAAGTGTTTCTTTGGTGATCGACGAATTTTCGAGCTAGCACTTTTTGTTTTTGACTTTAGTGGCATAAAAACGTTCGTTTTTACAAAAAATTTTTGTGGATGATCGGAAAAAACATTTCAAATTTGTTGTCGTCGTAAAACTTGACAAAATTACGATTTATCCTTTCCACGACATATTTTCATGTTTGCAACAAGAAATTAAAAGCATAAGACAATGGCCGATAAAAAGTAAATATATTATGAAAAAACAAAGAATCGAGTGTCAGAAACTACGGGGTACGGAAAAATTAAACTCAAATAGAAGAAATTAAGTTTTTCGGTTTTTCTGACTTTGTCCATTTTACCCACTCCAAATATCACACTTTTGAAATAATGGACCATACATAAATAGCTGATTGTATTTTAAACATACAATTTCACATGTAAAAGAGTCGATTATATCCATGTGGCCGAAGTTCGTGGCAAAGACAGTACAACGAGAATACGACATATTTTACATGCATTTATATTTTTAAATTTTCTTTACAGAATTAGCTCATTACAATGAATCGTCTGAAAAAAAAACGATTGATACTCAAAAATTTGAAGAAAGTCAATACAAGGATATTGAGGTAAATATGATTCATGTTTTTACGTGACTATAATATCCATAATAATTATTATTGTAAAGACCGATACTAAAAAATCAAAAAGGATATCTTTTTTTGTGTGATATTTTTTCAAATTGCTCAATTTTCATATTTCAAGGGGGGGATAGGTTTATCAGGCTAAAAAAAAGTGTTTTTTGCGTTTTTTAAGTAAAAGCAATAATTTAATACGATCGAAACTTATTGGTTATCTTAAACATATTTCGAAGTATTTCTGTAAATTTTTTCAAGTAATAATCTTATAAAATGGCGGAGTTATAAGCTTCTGTTCATAGCGTTTCAGCAGTGGAGGTGCATATGGCGTGCAATATAACTCAATGAAAAATCAACCGATTTTCAAAATTCAAAGCTTTTCTGATTTTTTATTAAATTAATTTCAATATGAACCAACTAGATCATGAAAAAGTTGAAAATTGAAAAAATGGGGCCCATTTGAAAAAAATTGTTCTTCACGCTTTTTTTCGCGCTTTGATTGGACGAAAATAATATTTCTGTTCATTTTTTCCATAGTTTTTTAAGTTCATATTCAAGGTCATTAACAACGAATCAGAAAAGCTTTGATTTTTGGAAATCAAAAATTAAATTTCGAGAAAAACGCGTTTAAAGTTGGCGAAAACATTTGAAGTATTATAATGTTTTTGGTCTAATCTGCCATTTCAACACTATATTGCCACCCTATACTGACCTTTAAAACTTGATTTCGCATCAAAAAATCTTCTTTTATTGTTTTTCAAGCTCAAATACATACATTAAAATTATGTAGCGCATTTTACTTGCTGCGCGCTTATACAATAAGTCAGAACGCACCCCACTTCAAAACTGCACACTACGTGAAATACTTTGAATTTCAATCTGAAAGTTCTTAAGCTTATTCTTGAATACTTCTACTTTGAATTGACGTAATAATAAAAATAGTACTTTACGATACAAGGGCTATAAAACACTTTACAGCACGGTTTAGTTAAGGGCCCGAGCGCAGCGAAAGTCCTAATAGCCGTATCGGAAAGTGTCCCCTATGGCCCGAGTGGGAATCGAATTCAGAGCCCTAAACATACTCTTTGATTTAGAAGGCAAACGACCCTACGCATGTACCGACTAGAACAACGAGGTTATTTAAGAAAAAACCGCAAGAAGACAACTGCATCAAATACAAAGCTCGCTTGGTAGTGAGAGACTGTCACCAAAAATCAGGTGTAACTACTCCGTAACCTTTGTCCCAGTTGTAAAGCTTTCTAGGTAAGGTGTCTCATAGCTTATGCAGCGAAAAATTCTCTTATGATATTCTATTGGGATGTATGAACGACATGCATTGACTAACCTCAATGACTAGCTTTTAAATCGGCTTGTTGTTGTGTAATATTTGCTGTGACCATTGCCCACGAGTATCGCAGCTCGACATTTCGTCACACGAGTACTACGTACTTGGGTAGTTGGTCGTGAACCTCAGTCCTGTGTTTGAATATATTAGAATGCTTGTCCCTAATTATTTATAACAAACGTACTGCTTCAAGCATCACTTTCACGGGGTTAAAGTTTTTAAAATTGTTTTATTACCATTTATTAATAAAATAGGAATAATAATTTTTTAAGGAGAAAGCTTTTTGCCAATGAATTGGTAGCAGTTTTAATTCCCTTAGCCCTGAAATGATATGATTCGTTTTTTGAGAAATCTGCCTTCAAAACCTCCAAAAGGTGACTAGAAGTTAAATTGCAATGTAATTTACAGAACTCAACTCTTATTGACCCTTTGAGTAGCTAATCAGAATTTAATTATTACTAAGGCTGTTTAAAACTTTTTGGGCAATGGAAAACAGCAATTAAATATATAATTTTAACATATTAGACCTACAAAGATAATTTTTAACTATTCCTCACAGTCACACACAGTTAAATGCGCACAGTTCATCATGACAATTTTATAAGTTTTACTTAAATGTTAATACACACTAGTCTTGGTTTCTTGTGGTGATTAAGTTGATAATGTTTAAATCAACTTTTACATAAGTGTGTAGAATCTCATATTAAAACTCTACCTACTCGGAGAGAAAAATGTTGGAATGATTCTGAAGCGCTACGCATGGACATATTCCGTACTACGCTATGCGTATCCCTGGAATTTGCTCGGCACAAGATCTTTGGATTTACCGCGTGTGTTACCGCCGCCGCGGCCGTTTCTGTCGCCAAAAAGCCTAGCAACTGTAGCATCGGCATTCTTGCCTCCCCTCTCAAGTCTGCGCGCGTCGATACGCGCGCGTTGGCTCGAGCTCGCTTTGTGTGGCGAGATATAGTAATAGGTATCAGTTGCTTGTAATCAATCGTGACGAGCACTAGCCAGTCCAGCCTTAATAAACTCTGATTATTCTCGTTATTAATTGCGAGTGTACAGTGATCATTTGCCCATTCTCTCTCTCCCGTCCCAATGAAAGTCCTTTTCAGTGACACGCCATCGAGCCGACGATGTATGGAGCGTCGGACCTTTCGATTTCGAGAGAAGTAACCGACGAGTCAAGCTACACCAAGGAATAAACCAACAGCCTCAATTAACTTCTCCATAGCAACTACATGCTTGTGCATACGACTACATGATTGTGTCACTATGTTTTTGGCAGCAGCAGCGGCGGCGGTAACACACGTGGTCAATCCCAAGATCTTGGGCCGAGAAAATTCCAGGGGTACGCGTGGAAATATTGCATGAAGCGTAATTCGGAATATGTCCATGCGTAGCGTCGGAAGCATTCCAACATTTTTCTCTCTGAGTATTCACTCATATTCATAGCACATTTATCACTGGATCTACAATTAAAAACAAAATCACTCAAAATGTATGACTAATCTTTTTTATATGCATACAGCACGCAGTATTACTGTTTATACAGATACAGCATACAATTATATATGATACAGTCACATACACATACATAAAGTACTGTGACACTACATACACTGATGTATATATGTCAATTTTGTACTGCTGTATTTCTTGATTTACACGGTTAAAAATTTCACATTTTTTACAAAAAGCTATTGAAACTTCTTCATAGTTTTACTACGAAACACTAAGTAGAGTTGCAAAGATATAATTTCACTGTTACTTTTTTTACTTTCAAAAAAATGTATTTTCTAGCCATGGGAAAATCAAGAAAAGTCAGCAGACTATTATTGACATTTGATCCGGGCTCGCGCACGAAACTGATCACGACACTGGAAAGCTGAGGAAAAATCCTATAAAAAAAAAAATGATTATTTTTGAGTTTTTAGGTACTTTTCCCTCCATAATTCAATGTTTGGTTTCAATTTTGGTTCTTGATGTACGGTTTTATTAAAGGAATTGGCTTGTCTTCTTACGAAGCCATAACCCCTTTAAATGAAACATGAACTGAATTTCATTTATATTTTTATAATTTATTTTACTAGTACATGTACAAGTTTTTAAAAGTAGTTATTGATATTTCAGACTAAAAAACCAGATTTAATTGATGGACCCAAAAACAATATTGAAACATCTCGACAACCGAATAACCTTAAAGAATCTGAAATGGAGAGTTCCAATACCAGTGATGTAACAATAAATTTACAACATAAAGGAAGAACAAGTTCTTTTTTTGCTCAGCCTGGTGTATTAGCAGGTACTAAAATAAGATATTTATATGTATTTTAACACGCATTTGTATTTTCTATTTCAATCAATTTACCCAAAGAGAACAGATATCTAAATATTTATATTCAGTTTTCAAATTAAAAATAACTTTTATGTTTTTCAATCGATATTAAAAATTTTTCATGGGCAACATATGAAATCATAAAAAATTTTCATGACAAATACGCTATTTATTTAAAGAAAATTTATTAACAGAAAAATAGTCCTTCTTTCGTAAGAACTTGCCAGCTTCGTACTAAAATCCTACAAAGCTTGGACATCAGCATGACATAGGAGACATGGTTTTTAGTCTAAAGTAGCGCGTCCCGTAAGTTGAAGAGCCCAGCTGCTACGTACCTACGCTCCATCAATTTCGTTCCACGGGTCAGTCTTTTAGAATATGATTTGATAGATTCATTTGGTTATGATCTTGTTGCGTCGCTAACTGTTTGTCACCGTATTTAGGTTCAGTCCGTGTCAAGTTTTGTACTACCAGCTATTTTTCATAAACAGAATCTAAAGTTACATTTGCGAATTTCTATTTTTCATTTTCCTACGTTTTAGTTTGTAGTCGCTAGTACGACAAACATCAGACAGAAGCCCAATACATTTCTAACTGATATTTCGGAGAGCTTTGCGATAATAGCGTGCAAATAAAAAATGATCTACAAATTTAAGAAGGTTTCCACCTTTAAATAAATTAAAGGCTATGGAGCCACAACTTCAGTCAAAAAGCAGACTAGTAAGAGAAAGAAGCGTATTAAATAATGAGCCTTTTTAACCATGTGTGAAAACATTTTTTTTTGAATACAAATACTTACTTTTACTTTCCTCATCGCGCAAAACTTCTTTCATTTGTTGGTGAATGATAAGACACGAACTCAATTTTTCCTGAGCTTTTCTATATGAAATGTTAGTTTTCTCCATTGTTGTTCTCAATTCTTGATTTTCCTTTTGTAAATGATCTATCTTTTGTTGAAGTTCGAGCATTTTTCTTTCGTAAAAAAATGAAGAAACTCTTTGTGAAGACCCTGGATTATCCAACTCCTCATCGTGACGAAAATTTCGATTTTTCGTCGAGAAATGAGAGTAGTGAATTATTATTTGAATCATTATAACTCTCATTGTCATTTTCTCTTTCCTTTTCTTCTTTGCTACTATTCGTATCTTCTTGATCAAAAATTGGAATTGAAGGAATGGAAGTGTTTTTTGATCTTCTTTGAATGCTTTTTTGAAAGTTTTTAAACAATTCATAATCCCGTTTTTCCTGGTGTTATGTAATACCGGGGGGTCGACTATTTGCGAGGCTGATGCGCAAGTGCGCAGACGACGTAGATGGAGTCGGTACAGAAGCGATGATCCTGATCGTCCGTGAAAGTAGGTTCAATTCTCAAGTTAAAACATGAAAAAGACACACGCGCACTCCTGGTGGTGATGGTGCTTACGATTATGAAACAAATGACCTCAAAGAGGTGGGCTGACGTTGCCTCGACTCTCACGAGGAGGGCTTACGTCGGGGGAGGTCACGTTGACGACGTACAACGAACTCGTTGCTACTCGCCACGCACGTGCTCCGCTCTTTTGAACTACAAGCCGGAACTTGCAGGAGAAGGTCAATGACCTGTGGGTCGTGAGACTCCGGTAGCGCAACTCTATCCTCTAGACGATCTCGCTCGTGCCGGGAGTCAAAAGGACATCCGCCCAAACCTGAACACGAGGTCGATTGAAAAGAGGGGAAAAGGGAATATTGGCACTCAAACGTCAGAGTGTCGCACCGGGATATTCTCCCGTGTACGATGCAATGGCGATGAGCGACTAAGATACTCTCGTTCGAAGGACTATGTCTGGTATTTAGTTCAGAGACTAAGTTCGCTAAACACTTCAGAGACTAAGTTCGCTAAACACTCAGAGTCTGGGTTCGCCAATTGCTCTCGAGACAAAATCCACTAACTAACTCTGCCGCTGAGTCCTTTACGGATATACTCCTAACAAAGTTTAAGTCCAGCAGAGGTTCGTCAATTAGCCAAGAGCTGCGGTAGTGCTCGGGTGGTTGTTCAAGAATGAATTACCGACGCAGCAAAGGGCTACGCTTATTATATACTCGTCGGGGTGTCGGCGGCGCGAGGAAGAAAAGGAGGGGAGCCGCCGGTCGGGTGATCAAGCCGCTGGTTTTGAGAGCTAAAAGGCCTCGTGGCTGTTGGTTCTATTGGACAAGAGAAGGGGAGCACCAATGGTCGCGCAGTGGGCGGGGTCTCGGCTGTGCGGTGCGTGTTTTTTACTGGTATTCCCCTTCTGAACCGCTATAGCTTAGTAACTATATTCTATACTATCGACCCTCAGTCTTACCAAGGTCAGTAAGGTAGGTTGGGTTACTTGGGTTACGTGCGGTTGAAGATCTTCTTGCGTGTCAGCCTTGCGCATGCTTCGCAATCTTACTTTATTAACAGTAAACTCAGAAGATTAATTGATTAGACCTTGGCCAGTAGTTGGTGATTTCATTTTTAAGTCGTCAGTCTCTAATAATAATTTTCTTTTCAAAAATATGTATTTTTGCGTAGTTATTTTCTTTATCTGCAATTTAAAAAAGAAAATTAATGACAAATAAAATATTATTACTCCTTAAAAAGCATACATCAAAGAAATAATTAATGAATATAATGCGACATGCATGCAGAAATAAAAAAAAAAAGATTGTGTTATACGTACTGCTTGGTTCTTCTCTTTCTTTTTTTTTTCCTCTTCTTCATCTGAACTTTCTGAATCTTCTTCACTACTTATTTCATTTGCCTTAGATTGTTTGTCAACTTCAATCGCATGAGGTGATTTGATTGTGATACTCGCACAATGGCACGAGACCCCTGTGTGCGTGTATTCCCACTCCGCCACTTAGCCGCCGCTGGCTCGCGCGCCTACTGGCCAGCAGTATAAAAAAGGCGGCGCCGATTCGATTCGGCACGCAGTTCCACTCCTAGACTTGCTGGAGTCGGAACTCGCTCGCCCACGAGAGCTTGGCCTAGGGAATGTTAATAAACCTGAGTTGTACTAAAATACTCAATCTTATTATGTCTCACTCCTCTCCAAGCCTCCTTCCCACTTCCACACTGAGAAGCTTCACTAGCGACCGCTAGGTGGCAAAGCGCCGGCACCCACAAGCTACTTATCCGCGCCAGGGCTTAAGTATCAGCCACTTCGAGCCTCAGTCTTTCGACTTCGGTCGCTCAGCGAGTGCAGCCTGGACCTTCCGGCCGCAATTAACCAACACGGCAAAGTCAGATTTGTCACCACAGCCAAGTCTACGAGGTCGACGGGATTTCCAGCCTCCCTTTGCAGAGTTGACTCCGGAATAACATCGGATCTCGGTGGCCACCCGACCCACGCCGCTCGCCAACTAATAAGTTGGAACTTTTACACGCCAACTCGGCCCCAGTCCTTTTTAGGGCCACCTTTCATAGGACGTCGAAAGACCTCGAACTTTTGCTAAAGATCGAGGTTAACCGTCTTGTCAGTTACAGAGTGTAAACTCTGAAACCCTTTTCGGTTTCCGGCCTTTTCAGGGCTACTGTTCGAAAAGTCATCTAACTTTTATTAAGTATATTTATTTTGAAAAGGGAAGTGGGCCGTTTTGACGTAATTTAGAAATGTGAATAGGGTAAGCATTATCATAAAATATAACACTGAAAAACATTTTTTTATCGAACATTTATTTACTATACGAATAAAAAAAATGAAATTATAAAAAAAAAGTTATTCTACACCAGAGCAATCAGTGCACATGAGCGCGCAATGCTCATCGCACATAGGCCGCAAACATGATGGACATTTCATTTTCGTTTTCTTGTCCTTACCGCGTTTACACAGCATACATCTTTTTCGTTTGGCAAACTCATAATTTTCTTCGTTGGACGATTCACCTATTTTAACTTCGAGTATCGAAGCGATACCTAATTTTATTTGTGATTAAAGATCAGTATTAGCGTAGCGATTTTGTAAGTATGGCGTGACAAGATATAGCGAAAGCTTGTCGAGGGGTTTTTTGGCTAATATGCGAGACTGACAACCTGCATTAATTTTCTGACATGTAAATTGAATGAGAGCATTTACGCTAGCTTGGTCTAGCATCCCCATAAATATTCGCATTGGCCAACGATTGGTTTTTCTACTTACTGTCTGCGCATGACACAGCCAATCAAAACAATCAGTCCCTCCTTTGGTAGAATTGTAGTGACGAACCATCACTGGTTTCTGATTTTGAACATCAGTGGATAATTTATCCGTAGAAATTACTAAAACGATCTTATTTTTTTTTGGTGAATATGATACCAGGCTCATAAAATCCGTATGACAAAATTTCCAGTCTGGTGGGTTTTTTGACGCAACCTTCATCTCTGCAGGAATTTCCTGTTTATTTTCGCGAATGGTATCGGTCATTTTCATGTCGTATGGTTCTTCCTTCATACGCGGCAGAAGAGGAATAAACATGAACCAGTTGTCACAAGTAACAGTGCGTTTTGTTCCATGAATTGGTGCAGTCACTTTTCGAAGGTAATATTCAGATAATTTCTCTCCCTGCAGTAGATCAATTATCTGGATTTTTCCTAAGTACGGAATCGTATAAATCAAGTATGATGTCGACGGATCATTTAACGAAAAAAGCTTCAAGCCGTATTAATCAGGCTTGGACTTTATGTACATCCTGATTAATGAATGCATTTGCATCGTCCACGAAAGCCAAGAAGTATTTCGTCTACGGTGCAATCGCGACTTGCTTGATAACAATTCGTGCAATTGGAAATAAAAATTTCCCAGATTTCACGAATTGCTCCAAATCTATCGTCCTCGTCTTTCTTGCTTTTATCGTCAAATCTTAAACAGACGGACAAAAGCATAAATCGAGATCGAGGCATTACACACCGATAAAAACTTATGCCGATTTGCGGACTCCATAAATCATGTGTATTCACGTTCGAAGATTTCCAAGCCCCACTGAAGTATAATATGCCTATAAATGCTCTCATTTCTTCTTCATCGGTGTGGTGATGGTAAGTTTAAAGTTTTCTATTTTGATGAATCATTTTTGCACAATGCTCTTCTATTTGATTGTTGGTGTGCTCAACAATAATCTTGACAATATTTGGTGAAAATAAAACATTCCAAAATTCTTCAATGTTTTGTAACTACGCAGCCGGACAGTCCGGTCCTGGCACATAAACACGATCAACATCGCTCATTCGATCTATTAAAACAGAATAAAAACAAACAATTATAAAATAAATCTCAATTATAAAAGAATAAGAGAAATTATATTGTATCGTCTTATTCATTCTACATAGGCACGCTCCTTTCTTCTCCTTCCTTCTCCTTCCTTCTCCTTCCTTCTCTTTCCTTCTCCTTTCTTCTGTGTACATCATAATATAGATGTATATATACAGACCAATTTCCTCTAGTGTAAATATACACTATATGATTTTTAACAGATACATTCAAGACATTTATCTCAAACTTTGTCTGGGGTCATCTGGACCCGAGTGACCACAATGGGTTAACCCGTTAAACCAACCATGCCTTATTTTTGTAACATAACTTATATTTATGAATATAAAGATAACAAAAATAGAAATGCATTTATTCGCATACAATTATAGCGTCACCTTCTTCGTTTTCTTCAAATATAATTGATTGATCGCTGGATTTTCATTTTTCTAGAATTAAGGGTCCCAATCGTTCATGCTTGCTATCGCTGTATCATGAAAAGATTAATTTTTGTTTAAATACCCAGTTTTTAATGCTCTTCCACCAACCATATCTGCTGTAATTTTATCCCAAGAACATTTTACCCAGTGACAAACTTTTTTCAAATCGGGCTTAACTAAATTCCCACGTTCATTTCTTTTTATGCTATTTTTTATAAAATTATTTATTTCTTTTCATAAGTGATCTTTGAAGAGTTTGCTGATTACAAGATTCAGTGTTTGTAATTATCTAATCAGTAATTGTACTCAACAGTAATTGTAATTATCTAATAATTATCTAGCTTAAAAGATTCTTCGATGTCCTTTGAATAATTTAAACGATTGGATCGACGATTTTTCCTTATAGTTTGATGACTCACAGTTACATCATTCAGAGAATGACCTAAGCTATTTTAAACTGAAGAAACTATTGCCGCTGCATCTCGGTCTGATGTTTTTGTCATATCCGATATTAAACAAACGGTTGAATCAATAACTTTATTTCTTTTTTGTTTTTTAGCCTTAGGAGAGAAGTAAAAAGTATCATTTTTTGGGGAATAAGAGTGAAAACAGTACTTTCAGATGTGTTGCTGTTCTGTGAAAGTTTTTCCGAGCTTTCCGAATTTTTTGACGAACCATTTTCTTCACCTTTCGGCAGCCGCGTCACACGCTGTGAGCAGGTGGAGGGGCGTCTCCTCGTCCACCCCACACCACCTGCATGTGCTGTCCGATACGAGGCCGATCTTGTGGCTATGATACTCTAAGTGCCCATGGCCTGTGATGATGTGTGTCAGGAGTCTAGTATATTCCCTCCCGCGATTTCTAGCCTGCCGCAGCCCGTCGCTGTTGGGCTCTGGGCCCAACATTAACTTAGCTTGGTGGCAACCCGTAGCTGCGCTCCACTATTCTTTGGGTCAGCAACAGCACATCATTTGGAGAGCAATTAACACTCGCGAAAAAGTCTCGGAGGGCGCGGGGTCACGGGGGGGGGNGGGGGGGGGGGGGGAGATTCTACTGATGCGCGAGAGAGCTCGTGGTTTTCGATTTATAGGTTACTTAAAATAGCTTACTCTATTTCTTCAATCTTCGTCGACAAGTTCAGGAGCACTTGGAAGGCGAAGAGATGCTTCTCGAGACACACTTTTATACTCTTACTGTTACTTTCACTTTCTCGTTTTCGTTCTTGCGATACGATTCGACACGTGCGTAGCGTACAAGCAGGTTTGCAATAATGGCCGACTCGCAACGTGGTCGTAGTCGTCGGTCTCATGTGTCGTCTGAAGCAACAAGCGAGCACCAATGGATATTGATCGATAGGTGTCGAAAGCTCGCTGTTAGTTGTCTGCTTGTTTCACATGTCAACACTGCGTGATTGCGTCTGGTGTGGGTTCGCTGTTCATCATTCGTCGGCTGCTGGATATTTTGGTGTTTTCAATGGATTGTTTCATTCTTGTATGTACAGTGTGAGGTAACGTTAGTAGAAAGTTTGGATATTCAACTTGAGATGCATCTCGACGGGTACACAGGTGTCGAACTAGCCTGTCACCTGTCAAGTGTTATTGACTTAGTGGCATCTTTCTAATCTTGTTCTTTTGTTGTAAGCATCCGGTGGCAAGATTATCCAGTGTATACGAAGTGGTTTAGGTATGATCTGCTTGTTCTTTCATCGTCTGGTTTGTGTCATCTGTTCTATTGTGCTTTACGATGAAGGCATCGTATCGACTGATTCTGTGTGTCTCATCGTGTACTCTTGAGGAGCATCTGTCTCTTGATTAGTGTCGTATCGTCTTGATTCTCTGGTCTCTTGGTCACTCTGATGTTCTCGCTTTGCTTTTCTCTCTTTTTTTAGGTCTCAAGTGCTAAAGTGTATGGGAGAAGAAAATACATGTGTGATAGAGGCAAGGTGTACGGGGTTCGTCTCGTCTTTACAACTGATATCTACGCGTGAGCTCGAAGGTGGATTTCAATGACTTGTAGCGCATAAAGTATGCCGCTACACGTTGATAAAGGTGTGTGATTATTACGAACGACTAATGACAAAGGATTTAGAATTAAGAGTTTATTTAAACGAGAAAAAGTAACTTTTCACGTTTTCCATCATGTTTGATCGTTGAAATTAAGGGCTAACAATTTATGGAGATTCCTCTTTTTCCTTTTTAAAAACAATGAAAGAGTGGGCAAGTGAAAATAAAAATATTTTGTTATTTTGGACAACCTACTACACAAATTCAGCCCATTTCAGGGCTAACAAAACGTAGACAGGTTATCCGTCAAAATTGCATAAGCCTTCGGTGGATACAAACCCTAACTTATCAATATATTTAATAAATTATTCACTAGTTTATTGTTAGGGTAACGGGAATCGTTACAATAAAACGAAAAAAATTTAATAATTTTTAGCCTAGTCTAAATATTTGTTAGCTAGTATGATATATTTATTCCAATCTTTTAGTTCAGAAGCTCCTATAATTTGGCTTTACATATTTTTTTCAATTATTCGATATTCCATATTCAAAATCTTTTTAAATTTATTATCAAATTCATTCGAATGATTTCTTTTTAAAACCGATATGTTTTTTCAGCTATCGTCGGAGGTGCAGTTGTAGGCTTACTATGCGCTATCCTCGTTGTTATGTTTATAGTTTATAGAATGCGCAAAAAAGATGAAGGATCTTATGCTCTAGAAGAACCACGACGATCACCAGCTACTAATTCATATCCAAAAGTTGGTGTTCATGCAAATAATCGAGAATTTTATGCCTGAATTTTTTAGAAGAATAACAAAATTGATAAGAATGATTTTATAGATTTAAAAATCTAATATTCTATTGGAATGAAAATAGCAGAGCTAACAAATGATTGATTCATCGTCAAGCAGCCAATGATATTTCTATTATTTTTAAGTAAAATTAATTCAAAAATAATCAAATAAATATTCGAAAAACTTGAGGATTTTTATTTTACTTTTATATACTCACGTAAAGGTTGTATTATTATGAGTGATTGAAAACCACTTTAGTTACATTTTTAGGTCTAGAACCTATAGTACTTTATGTACATTTTCTAAAACTACCCAAATTATTATGCTAATTAACTACTCGCCCTTTGCTCAAACACGTGTCTCTTTTGTAACACGCTCGCGAGATCCGTGCAATTCTGGCATGCATTTACTGTTTCTCTCATGAGCGTTCTGTCCGTGGTCATGACAGTGCTCCTGAAACAATTCAATCTCAATTTTAAGTTCATGGTTTTTTATTAAAGCTTCATAGAAGAGAGAGATACGATCTTGGTCAGATTCTCGTCACAAAATATAACAAGAGCGGGGGTCCCTGCGCGAATTGAATGCATAATGACACAATAGAGATAACATTTCAAATTCCTATGGACCGGCCGATAAAGTAGATTTACCAATGGATATTTTTTTATAATTAAAGAAAAGCATAGGTAAGGAAACTGGATCCCGTGCAAATTATTATAGAATCATCCAATCGATTGAATTATCAAATCGATTTAAAATGTCTAAGGGGATTTTATAGATATTTTATTACCTTTGCGTTATTAAAATTATCAGAAGTTGAAATTGCCAAATATCCAATAACAGATAAAGTAAAATGAGAAACTATTGCTTTCAATCTGCATGGCTCTAAATAGCGATGTAGAGAACGCGCGAGATTAGAGCGATATAGATAAGAAGAAAGGAAAAGTTTCTTGAAATGAAGTTATGAAATATTTTGTTGGAAAATTCGTTGCTAGTTTCAATATACATATGTTTTTAACATGAGTTCCTAAAATTTAAATATGATTAATTTATTTTAATTGCAAACGTACGAAAGTAGAGCAATGACCGTAATAGTAAAAAAGCTGTTACGACATGAAAAGTTAACGAAGTGATTTCTGTAACTATTATAATTTATCAATACTTTTCAACAATATTAGTAAAATTATCTATAATCTAAATCTAGAAATACTCACGCAAAGATACGTAAAAATATTTCCAAATTTGACCAGACCATCAATATAAATATGCCCCAATTATATATTATGAGGTAAGTCTAGAGTAATATTATTTTTATAGCACTGTGTAGCATAAATTGAAATTTATGGCATGAGTCACAGTTTCTGGGAGCGCAAAGTGAGGTTAGTGCACGAGCGTATGCGAGTGTGATGGGAATAAAATAATGTACAATACTGTTGCCATGGGGAAACTTTTCGGCCCTGCTATTAGGACCCTCGCTCAGGCCCTAAACTACGGGGTGCCAAAAAGTGTTACTTAAGGCACTTGTATCGTAAAGTACTACTTAAGAAAAGTTCATTTTTTGTCATTTTAGTATCTTTCAATTATTATTGTAATCACAATTTTTCAAACGAGTCACATTTGAACAACTATAATGTGGAAAAAAAATGTTTCATGTCATAAATTTACTGAAGGCATACTGCCTACTTGCAAAAATTAACATAAATTTCCAATAAAAACAAATAAAATTATAAATAATCTAAATCAAAAAATACGCAAGTGAAGATACATAATGATACGTTTTAATATGACTAGAAAAGAAATATAAAAACATTGCAAAGTTAATGAAGTTAATGTAGAGTAAACTAAGGCCCCATAGGTCTATCCGTCATGGATCTTCAGGCTCAAAGTTGGAATTTCATATTTCAAATTTTATTCTGCTTCCCAAGAGTGAATATGAAAAAATTGTTGAAACATGATTTTTTATGTAAAATTTGATGAGAAATCCAAATTTATCGTCATAAATCATATTCATTAGCATCTGCTCCATTAAAAGGTGATAATAACATAAAAGTCAAAAATAAACATGTTCTTATTTATCGATTAGGGCAATATTGTAATATGTTTATTGATAAATTTTTGTTATCGGAAGACAAGCATACTTCATTATTGAGCATCATATGAGTCAAGAATCAAGAAAAATTAAAGAAAACCTGTATTTTTAGGCTCATATCATGATCAATAATGAAGTCTGTTTGTCTGCCAATGGCCACAATTTATCAATAAACATATTACAATATTGGCCTAATTGATAAATAAGAATATGTTGTGGAGCAGATGCTTATGAATATGATTTTTGACGACAAATTTGAATTTTTCATCGAATTTTACAAAAAAAATCATGTTTCAACAATTTTTTCATAGTCACTCTTAGGAAGCAGAATAAAATCGGAAAAATGAAATGTCAACTATGGGGCTATAATTTCCAGGATTTTTATTTTTCAATGAACTCTGTACACGACTTCAAAAGTACTTAGTTTTTCTTTCATTTTTTTGAGGGGGGGACAGTTGACGCGATATAGCCCAATGAGTTGCGCTCCCACATCGAGCAATGCTCTCTGGACTTGATCCCGTCTGAGTCAACCAATCACGATAACGAGGCTGGAACATGGATCGATTTGGCCATTGTCGACTCCATCTCACTCGTTTCCAACTACACCAAATCTGACGTGCCATTCATCTCTAAACACGACTAATTTTTTTTCGACTACTCAATAGCTGCGGCGGTGCCTACAACAAAAACATACCTAACTCGCTCTTTCAACAACATCGACTGTAGATTATTCAACGAGCAGCTTGGCAATGCGTTAGCGTCTCTTCAGCGCTCTGATGACTCTCAAGACGATGTTGTTATCGGACTCTTAGACGTGCATTCCCCTTTAACGTCACGAACGCAGCGAAGAAATCCTGCGCCGTGGTTTACGCCTGTGCTTCGTGAGCGATGCAGAGAGCGCGACTCACTTTACACTGCACGCAGAACTTGCAACGCTGTGCTGCTGGTTCGATACGCTTCGTGGACTGATCAAGAGCGACATCGAACGAGCTCGTGAGCAGTATTTGCGCGAAGGCATAGCTGCATATATGGATGATGCGCAACGATTGTCGTTTATGCAGTGACTTAGTCTCGTGTTAGTCTCGCATCCGTCTCCACTGGATCACTTCTCAGCCGAGGAGCTTATTGCGCACAATTCTACTAACAACAACTCACACCCATCTTGCACTGAGGATGCCCTTCAAGAGATTATTGCCACACCGCTGATGCGCTGAAATGCCGAATTTGCCTTTCAGCCGGTCACCGAGTTGCAGGTGCTCGAGGCATTGCACTGGATTGCACGGGGCGCACGTGGATGGAGTTGTGACGGCATGTCCAGTTCAGTTCAGTGTCGAGTAATCGTAGTTTTGCTAGTGTATTAGCGAATCGACCAGCAAAATCTCCATCTGTAAAAATAATTATTAAACCAAACAAAGATTATAAAGGTGACACACTGAAACTAATTCAAAATCAGGTATCAAGCAAAACAAGAGCCAAAGTTCTAAAACTGGCAATGTATATTGTGACGTGCGAGGTTTTGGGCACTAGCCCATGCTCGGCCTGCCGTCTAATTATTTCTTACTGAGGCTCCGGTTAGCCTATTTTTGAGTCTTACCTCAGAAGGGGTTGAGCCGCCACCAAGTGCGCCGCGAGCGTCGGCAGTCCAAGCTGAAAATAAGTGATAAGGGTTCGCGAAAAGATTACGAAAAATGTACTTTTGCACACAAGACTCGTTTTTTTATTTAATTCAACTCTCAACTCTCATCAATACAACCCTCATTCATTCGCGCTTTGTCTCGCCATCTCGTATCTCATTTCCTCGCTACCGTCGTATCATGCCTCGGACGTAATTGATCATACACGAGTCCAAGGGGAAAACGCGCGGATTACAACGTTCGTCCGACGCGAGTCCCAGTCAAGTGCCGCGTAATTGCACTGCGCGCAATCGGCTCGTTTCTCCGAAATACGGTCGACACCTTCGCTCTGCTCGCGCTAGCAGACGCGCGACTTGGTCACACTCGACCAAGACGAAACGCGCTATCTCGCTTGCTCTCACAGGAGCGTCCAAGGCGGAAGTACCGCTTCGCAAAATTGGCCACGTGCCGGCCTAAAACGCGACACGTGGACTCGAACCACGTCTTGAATGTCCAAGGTCCTCGCGACAATTACTCCGATTTCCACGACTCTTACTACACAACGATTCTACGGCGAAACACTTCTTATTTTCTCTCCTACATTCACACTACGCAATCATACAACACTCTCACACATCCGCGCGACCGACCAAGCTTATTATAATTTACGTACGACCTTATCTTCGCTTTTATGCCTCGGCCTTCGTTCCTCGACGTTGTCTCCCGCTGTCCCCCAGCTGCTCCGTCCTCGCGGTCTGCCCGGTCCAAGGGCTCTTGCCTCGCCTCGGAGATGCTTCGGACGATTGATGAGAAGGTCGCTGTACAGCAAATCGCGTGGCTCGCTGCCTTCCGAGCCCCACGATCGCCTCGTCACCTCGCAACTCTTCTCTCGTCGCGCTGAACTCAAGGCTTGAACACAGCCTCTCCACGGACACAACACGCGAACTTCCACTGCACGCACAGCTTCTTCACCACGATCAACCGCTGCCACACAGCTTCTCCACGACAACTCAACTCGCCAACCTCTGCTGCTACACAGCTTCTCCACGGCCAACTTAACCGCTGCCACACAGCTTCTGCACTCGATTTCTCACTCGGCCACACGTCCGTCCTCTCTCGCGGTCTAACTGCGAATCTCCTGTGTGCACTGTCGCGCAGATCGACGACGCATCGAACGCGAGCGCTCGATTGGCACCGATCAATCTGCTCTCCAGCGCACGTGGTCCAAGAGACACGTTCGAAGTTAACTTGGCTCCTCCTTTGCCCTGAACCCCGAACGTGCGCTCGAGTGATATTCAACTTTCCTACATTATCCATACTTCTCGGTCGCGCACTCACTCATGCATACACACAATATGATTCGCTATTTTTGCGTCAAATACCGCCCAGTGACATCGTCACAATATGTATGGCAATGTATATGTAAAATGCCAAAGCGAACAAGATTCCCAGCATATCTTGCAGATATTGAATAAAG